ACCTAGTTCAAATTCAGCCTCAGACGTTTACTAGCTGTGTGACCCGGTGCAAGTCACTTAATCCTGATTGCCTCCCACATCCCCACCTCATCCCCGAAAGAAAAAAGTTTTAAAGCCCAGAGATGCTCTAAGACTATGGCATTCTTCCTCCCAGCCCTACCCCCTCCCTGCCCAAGATGCTCTCAGATGGCTGCATTCCTCCCAACTCTAAGCTATATTCTGATAACCCTGCCCCCAAATCAATCAATAAACATTGAGTAAGCACCTGCTAAACGAGATGGGGTTAGTCTGGCCTGACTTGTCCTTGACAACGCCACAGAAATAACCACTGCCCTCTCTAAACACCCATCAATCAGCCTGAGAGAGGCTGATTTTAGGGACGGGGCTATTCGTCGGCTCCTCCTGACAGGAAAGCCGACTGCGAAGCCCGTTGGGGACACGGACGTTCCCATCGTCCCACCCCAGGCCCTGACGAGCAGACAGAGTACAAGGTCTGAAGCTGGAGGAGGTCCCAGAGGTCATCACGTCTAACCTCCTTATCGTGGGATGAGGTCACTGAGACCCAAAGAATGGCCGGGACAAGGTCAGAAGCCCCTCCGTCTGAGGAAGGCCCAGACAGTGCAGAGGGCGCAGAGGTGAAGTCAGTCTGACCCCCCACTCATCGCCCCAGTGAGGCCCACCCGCAGCCTCCGGGCCAAGGCTCACCTGGCGCAGGTAGAGTTTCAGGACATTGCTGATGTTGTGCGGGGAGGCCTGCGATAGCTCCACCAGCTCTTTGCCGTTCTCAAACGCCTGGCAGAGCTTCTCCACACGCGTCTTCACGCCATTGATCCGGTAGATCCCCTGTGTGGGCCAGAGCACAGAAGGTCAGAGCTGGAAGGAAGCCTGGAGACCACTGCCTTCTCTCCACACTGCTCCAGAGGCCTGGATTGGTGGAAGGCAGGCAGCAGGAGCACGGCCTTGCAGTCCCAAGCCCTGGGTTTGAATCCCGGCTCTGGGCAAGCACGCGCCACCCCGGTGGCCTGGACCGGTTTCCTCACATCTCTCCTTTATAAAATGAGGTGGTTCCACGCCGCCACCTCGACAGCCCCCTCCGGGCCTCAGTGGACGATGCTGAGAGCTGATCCCAGGGCATCTCTGGCAACAACTTGCCCTGGATGAGTCCCAGCACACATCCTCTGGCTGTCTGCACCCAGCACAGCCCGAGCCCAGAGGACAGAACGCCAAGGGTTCAGAGCCGGGAGGCAGCTCAGATGCCATCCAGTCCAAATCTCTCATTTCCCACAACCAAACTGAGGCACAGAGAGGTCCAGGATTAGAATCCAGGCCCCCTGCTACCAAGCCAGCGTCCCCACCTCCACCTCCACAATACCCCAGTAGATCTGTGACTGTGTCATATGGAGCCCCCCCTCCTCGGCCCTGGAGGGAGGGTGCAGGCAGAGGCGCACGCTGGTAACAATCATCATCGTCATTAGTAATATAATTAGGCCGTAATTACGTAACAAGATTATTGTAACCGTTCGAGAGCGCTCCAAGGCTTTCAAAGTGCTTTCCCCTACATCAAAATGAGGCGGTGAGGATCGCACCTTAGACAGGTCTGAGTCAGGATTAGAACCCAAGGCCAGCGCTACTTCCTCCCTCTGCTCCAAGCAGCCTGCCCTTGGGCACCTGCCAACAGTGAGCATGACAGCTGGGGTTCAAATTCAGGCCTTCTGACTCACGTTTCTACAAGTGAAGGGTTTACAAGGCGTTTTCACAGCAGCCTTGGGAGGTAGTCAGTGGGAGCATTATTATCCCCATTTCACAGATGAAGGACCTGAGGCTGGGAAGGGAAACTGCTGGCCCATCTCATCACATAAGTGATAAGCGACAGAGCCAGGATTCAAACCCATGGCTCCTGAATACCAAGACCACCCC